ATTAATGTCCACCCGGCTACTACCAGCTATCCCCTGACTGACCATTAATGTCCAACCGGCTACTACCAGCTATCCCCTGACTGACCATTAATGTCCAACCGGCTACTACCAGCTATCCCCTGACTGTCCATTAATGTCCAACCGGCTACTACCAGCTATCCCCTGACTGACCATTAATGTCCACCCGGCCGTAGCTCATGATGGGTTCAAAGCCCGGCACGGTGGCTATGCAGACATAGGTGCCCACGTCGCTCTCCCGCACCAGGTCAAACTGCAGGATGTGCATGGTGCTGAGGGTGGCCCGAGAGCCCAGCCGTGTCCACTTGATGGTAGGGGTGGGGTTGCCATCAGCTGAGCAAGACATCTGGGCGGGACCTTCCTCATCCACAGACACAGAGACAGGGACTTCCAAAAATCGAGGACCGTCTAAAAATAACAATAAGATAAACATGACTGAACAGAAGTTTCAAATTTTTTTTTAAAGATTGTGGAATGCTGCGGAATCCTGGTGAAGTCTTTAAATCCAAGATTTACTGACTAGCAGTTTTGTCCATCAAGTGTTCAAATCAACGTGCAAGATCAATCAGGGATCATACCATAGTTAACCATAATTTGATTTGACTAACTACGATAAAACGTACGCTCGTCGACGATGATTGGACAAGTCTAGTTGATTATGTATGATCAGCCTACCAAGGTTAGTCACATAGTTTGCTGCACAGCCTTACCATTTTTAATATCAGAGTGAAGAGAGGACAAGTTCTAAGAAAAAAAATGGCAGAAAAAAGAACTGAGATGGATATCGGCACCAGTAATTGATCATTTTCACATGACATTGTTTAGTTACTTTGCCCTAGGCTACTTTGACCAGATAATAGTTTGACTCTAGAGGTCATTCACACTTCAACTCCCCTGCACATGCGCTAGTTGCATCATGAACCAACAACTAGTTCGCGACCAGTCCTTGATTGAATGAGCCCAAGCCTGCTGTACATGTGCTTGATGTGCAAACTGGTATGTCCGTTGCAAGGCACTTTGCCTTTAATAGCTTAACCTAGGCAACCTGGAGGGATTTTTTTTTTGCCTGGATAGTTTTTGAATTGCCCTTTTGGGACCAAATTGCAGCCTGTTCCAGCCTGGACTTGAGACAGAAACACAGCTGAAGTTGAGACAGTTGTGTTGACTAGAGGATTATAGTCTTCTAGTTACAATAACTGTACTGGTACACCTGTACATCGCCAACTTGGTTTTATGGCTCGGGACTCGGTCAACTTCAGTCATGCAACTCGGCTTAACCAACCTACAGACTTAGGTAAACGGTTTGAATAACTGGTTTACTCACACAGTACTGGAGTAGTCAAGCTACCAGTCACTGATCCAATGGTGTTTTCAGCCGTACATGCGATTGATGCCATGTGGTCTTCTTTAGTGATCACAAGCTCAACTTGATTATCTTCAGCACCTGGGCATCAGAATTGAGAAAATTGAGGAATTAGAGGCCACAACTGCAGTGGCACAACATTCATGGCCAGGTGGTATGGGTGCATTACATGTCCCTTTGACCAATGGGGTGCCGTGATTTGTCAATGCTGGTGCACGTCAACCTGAAAAATGCACGTGGGTGCAGTGCCATCGCAGTTATGGCGTCTTCTCGGCTTAGTCTATAGCAGACACAAAAGAAGGGTGCATTTGGTTTTGGTTAAATCTTTTCTGTTTATTCCAAATTTACCCACTTCAACTAGCGCTCTCCTGTTGTGTCTGCTGAGGTCCAAAATGTCTAACCTGCACTGACTGGTTGTATTTTGAACTGCGTCTCACCTGATATTGGCTCTCCATTTTTGGCCCACAAATACGACACCCTCCTGGGATTGGCATCCACCACACAGCGGAAGATGACTGGGGTATCCTCTCGGATGGGCGTATGGGATGCCTCCACAACAACAACCGGGGCATCTGGGTTGGGGGGAAAAAGAGGAAAAGAAATAAATGAAATGGTCAGCACCTGTTGTAATGAAATGTGTGCTAAATAGTTGCTTGGTCCAACAACACTCGGCAAAGGAGAGACACTGTGTTGATTACAATAGTGTAGGGTCATTCTTGTAGACACTATAACAAAGAAGACAGGGTACCCTACATGTACATGTATAGTTGTGGTTCGTTAAAGCAATTGCATAGGCCCATACCCATTCAAATATGTGGTGGTTTGCGGCGTTTGCCTCACAAATGCTTTTACGGCCAGCACTTCTAACTTCCGTGTAAACTTTAACAAAATTTTTTTGAACATGAACACCGAATTCCAGCATTTGTTTGGATTGTACGTTATTTTTCTTCCATATTGCAACTACTGATTTCAGGTTTTTTCTCACTGGGAGTTGAATCGCAAAGTGAAATCACGTATTACATGTAGTTGAATCATGGGCACAACAAAAAAATCACATGTGATATGAATTATAGCTCCACTGGTTTCCTGTGCTGCTAAATTGAAATATTAACAGAAGGGCTGGGAACCATTCTGTAGCTCTAGTACCACGCAAGAGATGTTATGCAACATTGTTCAAAATTATTGGAAATGCAAATTAACGTCCGTTTCAGTGAGCTGAGTCACAAGGGCTGATAAATCTGCATTAATTTCTTGAGAACACCAAAAGTACTGTCTTTTGAAGAAGAAGTTCTAGCCTGTATTGCCATCCAGGAGAGTGCATTTTTTTCTAAATTACCATCAGGTGTAGTGCACATAAAAGAACTCAGTGGCCGGTCTAAAAGGCCGCATACATGTATGCGCAGATGTACCAGCAAATGATATGGACAGTATTGTTAACGGTTGTTCCTTTGCAAATATGACTTCAATTTGTCTCGTTGTTCAAGTCATTAAAGTCAGTCCAAAATGTATGTACAAATAGATCTTTCATTTCAAGCAAATTTCAAAGTTTGATAAAAATGTACTGGAAATTCGGCAGTCAATGAAATGTTTGGTATATAACCCGAACGTTTGGTATATCAAGACCTCCATTCTGAATTCAAGTCACAAGCTATTCAAATGAATTGCAACAAAAGCATTCCTTTGTCATTGTTCACCCTGTTACTTGTGACTGGTCTTGTGTCTGGTCTTGTGTCTGGTCTTGTGATGGTCTAGACTACAACACTGGTTTCAGCAGTATTGTATTGTGGAATCAAATATTTGAATTGGAGTCTTGATACGTATACATTAAATAATATGAAATAACTCCGTCTTGAACTGATAGATAGCATGGATTCAGCTTACGTTGTACGTCCAGCGTAATCCCAAGTGTCCTGGGAGTGGCCATTGCCATGTGTGAGACCTGGCACTCATAGACAATGCTGTGATCAGCTAGGGCTGGGTACACCTTCAATGCACTGGCAGCGTTCATCAGCTTCCCCGAAGGGTCACCGGCCTTCCAAGTCCTCTGGTAGGTGGCGGACAGCTCGGAACCCCCTCGCAGCCATTTGATTTGGGCTGCCGGGTTGGCGCTGGTGGCCTCACAGGTCAGGTTGGTGGGCACGCCCACCACGACGGAGAGAATGGGATCGCTGGGACGCAGGGTCATCATGGATGGAATTCCTGAAACCAGAAACAGGAGAGGCTGCTGGTACTTGTTAGCTCTAATGAAGTCTACATGAGGAAACCAAATTGACTGATCTCAGACTCAGCCCTTTGCATTGCAAGTAAAGAGTATTCCGGACTCAAATACAGTGTGCTAAGCCTCAACCACGAGACAAGTGGCCGACAACATAGAGTGTCTTCCAATTTCAACAGCACCTCGCACAATCTTTAGGCACGGGCAGTGTATGTCAAGGAGGAGAGCAGTGCGTTTGATAATTGGTAAAAAGCATTAGAAAACATGGAGCCAGTACCCACTACTGGATAGGCACTGCACAGCACAGGTGGTAACCATACCCTTTTTAGAAAGAATTAACAATCAGAAGGCATGTACCACCAGCCTCATTGGGAAATGCCTGTCTCCTGTAATGGTGGCCAACCTTGGGGAAATACATGTACCGGTATGTTGTCCCACAACAGCACTTTAAGTTTAACAGCTTTTGGTCGGACCTTATACTGGTGCCCTGGGTAGATGCATGCAGGTGAAACTTGAATTTAAGAAACCTCAAGGAAATCATTGCCAGAAGATCAGAAGAATATGGTACAGTATCTACTGGTATGTTAGCCTTCCCCCCTCCAAAAAAAAGCACCGTACTTTTGTTTTCAATGGCCCTTTGAAAATGGCTGGAACTGTACCGGTAGTTCTGGTTGTTCACATACACTGAATTTTGTAGAAACTACACTATACCGGTACATGTACATGTACGGAAAATATAAAACAACATTACTTAGTTTGCGATGTAACTCTTCTTTTTTACCATCACACGAAAGAGACTCCTACAAAAGTTTTGATCGCTGCAGACTCAAAAAATAAAAACTTTTTCCAGAGGTGGCCCAGTTCACTGGCCTGTCTGAGTTTCTACAAACCACAATGAAAACAACCACCAAATTGTCCCACGCCAAAACCTTTAAGACACTTTTCTGGCCACAGTGTCTGCTCCCACAAGAAACAACACTTTTTTGTCTACTCCAAGAATTTGAGGGTGATTATCAGCTATCCCGGGTCGCTGGAGGTCACCCAGGGATCAAGCAAGGGGTTATCAGCAATAAGGGGTTTGGCTGTTGGGGCTTGCTGCTGAGGGTCACATTGCAAGTTGCTGATGGGTTTATCATCAGTGGGTGAGGCTTCAGAATGTCTGGTTCAAAGATGGATGACTTTTTTAGAACAGCCAGACTAGCCTTAGGTGAACAGCACTGTTTTGAAAACAACTTTACAAAGGACTGTCAACTTCCACAGATCTATGATACTTTGTCAAGATTTACTTGGGTAATCTTTCTGCTGATCTTATACTGGACTGGTGTTTGAAGACAGTATGCCCATAACCACGCACACTAAAATGTTCCATGAATACCAACAGTATGCTGTGCTGGTACACATGTACAGTGTATGAGTGAATGTACCAAACAAGAAACATCAAAAACCTGACCCAAACAATCCTTCACAGTGATTCAGAATTAGCGATGCGTCTACTGTCTATTGGATGGCAAATGAAATTTGATGAAATTTGTGGTGCGTATTATTTCAGAAGCCCTTTAGATATGATTTCAGGCAAATTTTAAGTGGAACAACTTTCCGAAGATCTAACTTAAGTAGTGATTAACTACATGTAAAACTCAAAAACATCATACTATAGGTGCAGTTAATGTTGATGGCATCGTTAAAAATTACAGGTGTCCAGTTCTGTTTAAGTTCGAGGTTTCTTTAAATGTTGTTAGATTGTTTTAAAAGTGGGATTATAAACTTGAGGTTTCAAGTTTTAAATTATATGTAGGCCCCCCCACTAGTTCTCCAAGTTGCAAGTTGACCATGTTGATGTACATGTACATTATACAGACAGTGGACCTGCCAAGAATGGAAATAGTGGTATGATACCATTCTGGTGGTTTACTTTTATTTTAAAGGGATTCTACAAACATTTCGAACATATCAGCAAAGATACTGCCGTATAGAAATTCCATACTATTGCCAGTATTTTGGTACATGTACACCGTATCTACGGATCGTTAGTTTCTACTCTTCAGTATATTGAAAAAGAGGCAAATTTTGGTAATGTCTGAAATATCATTTAAAGCCCAGTGCTGGATAGACTTTATTTACAAAAGGCACTAAGTATGGTTAGAGAATCGAGTGTAGAGTTGTACATATGTACGTACGTTGGATGATGAGCCTGGCTCGTCGGGATGCTATCACAGGGTTGTCGGTGGTAGCAGTCACCTGACAGTGGTATTCCCCGTCATCCTCCAAGATGGCATTGTCTATCTGGAGATTGTACTCACCTAGGGAGGTGTTGCCCTCAAACGAGTATCTGGAAGGAAGATGAAACAGATCAGATGGGTAACGGGGTCACAGCTGTGAGCAGCTCACTCGGTGACTCTTCTCGCAACCACACAAAACAGAGGAAGGAAAGTATCTAATTCTATTCTAATCGTTTTGCTGCCAAATTATCCCACTTGAAGATGAATTAGGCCAGTGGAGTAAAATTACATGCACCGAGGGTAAGTTTACAAAATTCATCTGCAGAAAGAAATGATGGTACTAGCACACTGTATGCCAGTACATCAGAACCAGGCAAAAGGTCAGGACAGAGCTGTATGTAGAACAGACGTGTACATACTCGGAAGCCTCATTTTTAGCGTCAGTTGACAACTCAACTTTCCCATTTTCTGATAACAGTCGGCTATAGCCAAACAATTTACATGTATGTATGTTAGTTGTCCATTTGGGGATTCCATATACTGGAAATGTCATATCACACCAGTAGGACCCACATGTGATTTTTGTTTTAATAAATTTGATATTTTTTTCCATTTTCCATTCCAAATAAAATTTAATTTAAGCAAGCCATAGCATGCATTATCAACTGATACGAATGACAGCACAAATGTTTTGAAATGACTACAGAAAAAAAAAGAAAAAAAAATGGATCTACTGGTACATACATGTACATGTACCGGGTACCGTAACTTTCAGGTATTTTCTGTGGAAGTGTAGCACCCATAATACTGTTGAACCTCTAAATTACCGGTAAAACAGCTGGAGTTACTTCGACCATGGAGGATGTGACCCATTGCTCACTGGTAACAACAGAGTAATTGAAGAAAAATATATCCCACTCTGAATTTCTCAAGTTTAGTAGCACATTATTATTTCAGTCCTGACCAGTACCCCACAACTTAATGTATGGTACATGTAACAGATTTGACATCCTTCACAAGGTTTCTGATAAATTGTACAAAAAATTTCAAAGATGCTTTGAAGTGTGAATCATGATTCTGCTCATTAATGAAGGAAGGAGCTTCACGTGTTTAGCAAGGAACACTTTTCTGCAGTACCCACAGTGCCAAACCATGGAAAACATCAGGCACTATCAAGGGCACTTAGTCCAAATAGGAAAGTGGACCACCACTGAGTAGACAAACACAAAGACTGATATTAATATCACACAGCTGGAGGGGAATCGGAACACCGCTGGAGATTTTTCATTGGGTGTTGGACTCCATCAGGATTAGAAATTGGAGACTAGACATACAACAGTGTCAGACACCTCTGTGTAAGTGACCCCGGCACCAAAGGCAAGGTACAAGAACTGCCAGTTGAGAAGGGCATGCCAATAACCAGTGTATGTATTTCCACCGAAGGAACTTCAAATATATAAAAGCCAGAAAGTCAGGGGCACTTGGCTTGTAAACACAAGTTCACAGACTGTAATTCACTGGGGATCTGCTGTTTGAACTATGTACAGTGTACATGTACGTGCAAAAATTGTCCTGTGCCCGGATGAAGGGAATTCAGGCATTTTTTTTTCTCTTGCGTGTACATTGCAAGAAGTGGGCTTGAACAAACCCAAACTTGAAGACAGTGTAACCTACACGTACTGGTACATTTTGAGCGATTGATCTCAAAAACAAACAGCTAGAAATCCTTGCGATGCACACTTCGGAGGGCAAAAACATGCATCCTTTGTGACTAAATGAATTTGATTTTGCATTATTTCCATACAAACGTGTCCATGTACATGTGGTAGGCCTTTTAATGCTTTTCCTTGTACTTCATTCATTCATTATTCATTCACTTAGGGTGGCAGGTGGGAGAGAAGAGTCTTGCTTCTGTCAACAAAGCCCTTCTGATGACATCCAGGCAATGTTAGCACCCTCTGTTCATTGACACAAAAGTTGCAAGTTCATCCTTGACTGTTGTTTCCATTGTCACCAAGGCACCATTATTTCAGACACTCGTTTACAAACACGAATGTTGTACATGGACATGTACATTACCATGTGTACTGTATACTCTGTAATTGGTGGCAGTGAAAAGTGAGAGTTTCATTGATCTAAAATCGTTTTTCAGAAGACACTGATGATGCCCCAAAGGTGAGTCACAGTTTGCACACTGACTGCTGGCACTGAATCAGTCATACAATCCCAGCACTCGAGTTTGCACAAAACACTGAACTGAGCACCTGATCATACATGTACATGTACACCTACCGGTAATGTAGCTACCAAAACATCTACAGTACCGGGTACGAACAAACTTTACGCTAGAGATGCACGTGTATGTTTCTTTGGCAGGATTGTGAGCATTCAAGTCATCACATCCAAAAGTCAAGTCATCACAACACAAGCCACTTAACTGAACAGTGTCTGGCAAAGCAACCTGTCACCCGACCTGAGATTTCAATCTTCCACAACTCTGGATGTTTCACTCTCTGACAGGTTTATACAGCTCACACATTGTACACCATACCTTGGATATTTACTAATGGTGAGATCCATGTCGCTGGCAATGTACTCTTCCCCCTTGAACCATATCAGCTCACCCGATTTCTCGGCAATGATACACTTCAGGACAACTACTGCTTCCCCTATCACTACTGCTGTGTCGCTAGGCTCCTCTTGAAATGACTGGGCAGCCCATACTAAAATGGGTAAAATTAGGAAAGGGTAAATTAATACAGTTGTTATAATCTATTCTACCTTAAAGAAAATAAGTTATCATTAGATTTTATTATTTCAATATGTCCACAGATGAATGTTTCAAAAGAGTTTAGCAAAGGAATCAAAAGTGAAATGTTTTCAGATGAACAATCTCGAAGGAAGTCCGCATAAATCAGGGGTGTGAGTGGCCACTTAAGATTAAAGCTGAAAACAGCCAGCAAAAAGCTGAAATGTATAAAATGTTCCCATAGTATTGTAATGGCTAGGTGTACAAAAAAGCTGAAATCCAGGATCAACATCTAAATGAAAAAAGCTGAATTCTCACACCTCTGACAGAATGAACAGTCTAATATTTTTGTTGACGGTGAAGTGATAATACCGTACATGTGCATTACATGGATTTTTCAGGAGTTGTAACGAGTCAGTAATTTTGTGAATCAAGTTGAGTCATTATAATGTAGTGACTTGACTTGAGTCGGGTGTGCATCGTAAGTCCGACGCCTTATAGGTCCAACGCCTCAAAAGTATGAATTGGAACTTTTAAACGCATTTGTTGGACTTACATGTATGAGGCGTCGGACCTATGAGGCATCGGACTTATGGACTTCTTTAAACACTTTTTTCGGACTTACGTGTATGAGGCGTCGGAATTATGAGCTGACTCCATTGAGTCAATACGCAAAAAAAGTTTATCGAGTGAAGTATTTTGCTTGAGTCAATTCAAGTCACAGAATATTTGAACACATACAGTGTACATGTACAGATGTAAGAGAGAATGACATTTTGGCATTTTGAAATTTACCTCTGGGCTACTACTTGTAGATACAGTACACTACATGTACATGTACTCTTGATGATGACACATAATATGAACATTATAAACCGACACTGTAGGCCAATTGCAAATACATGTCCGTATATATTTTCTATTTTCAGTTAATACATGTACATACATGTAGACTTGAAGTCCTAAAAATCGAGTCTACATGTATGAACTTTCACTCGAGTCAGGTCTTCTGATGTCTGAGGGACTCAAGAGTTGGGTCGTTTGCTCCCAGTGAATCAAGTCGAGTCATTTACAGATAAGGACTTGAGTCACCAAAAAGGGTGACTCTAGTTGAGCAATTCTGCATTTGATTTTGAGCATGATTTGAGTAACTACAGTACACCCAAGAACTTTTGAAGGTCCAAAGGATCAAGGGGTCATGGCTAGAATGTAAACCAGAGCCTAAAGCACTAGCACCCTAACCCAAACCTGCATCAAAGAAAATATAATTGACCACATCCTGTCATGTCTAAAAGTGTTTATGAACATAAACTTGAGCCATAGTGCTCTAGGGACAGGCTACATACAAGGTCCATTAAAAAATACACAGTTGGTGAGAACATTCTGTGGTGTTGCTATTTTTTCAGTTGATCCCTAGCCCACAGCTAACCTGGAAGAAACTGTAATATAAACCAGTGGTCCTTGGACAGGCTAGCTTGTGGGCCTATTACAGAGAAGTTCTCTGTCCCTGTTGTCTACCACAATAAACAATAAGGCTCCTCCATAATAAACTGGTGACTCCCCTGCAACCTGTAATGGAGGTAGCACACAGTTTTCCAAGTTTGTAAAAATCCTTAACATGTTAACCGATTCCACAGATTTTGTTTTATTAACATTCAGCCTGCATTTGAGCCAGATTTTACAAATTTCACTCTCTGAAACAAGATGGAGCTGCCTTTCCGGAAAAAAAGAATTGGTCTGGAGGAAAATACTGGTAAATTAAATGAACAAGAGGTAAAAAAATACCCTGCAAACATCATTTCCTTTTTGCGTGGCTCTCTTAAGGGTTGAGGGGATGGCAGGAGACTGTGAATAAACAATGAGATAAACAAAATGCAGCATAAACAATTGGGTCAGTTTGAAGGAGGAAACTGTTCTGACCCGAGGCCATATCCCTGCAAGGTACAATTTATCTGAGGGCTACATAATAACAAAGACTAATTTGTGCATGGATTTGGTCATTTCTTTTGAGAGTGCTGTACATGTACCTGTAAATTCACCATGATTCCCCTTCCCTACATGTACCTGTTGAGTATAGTTTACAAGTACACACACTTCTTTGTGAGACCACTGAACTGGGTAAAGGAAAATTCAGTGTGAAGAAATAAATGAGAAATCAAACATCCTGTCCTTACCAAAAAACACACATACATGTACTAATTTAGACCAGATTGAGATTGTACAGCCTGTGACCCCAGAAGACAAACATTTCAATTGAGGAATGAAATTACTGTACATCTAAGCATTTACCGGTAATTTTTGTTCTTAAAGTTATAATTTTCTTTTATGAACAATAGTTACACCTGATGAAAATGTGGTCAACAAAAGTACTGGTATGTATAAGATACCAGTAAAGTTTAGGCATCAAGGTCAAGAAGTGTGCCTGTATCATATTCCACAAACAATCTCGTTCTTGAAAATCAATGAAAAAGAATTAGAATAAATTCAAAGGCCACAGATTGTGCTAAACTTCTTTAGTTCCACAGTGATTTTTTTTTTTACAATTCAAATCCATCTTACAAGATTCGTTACTGTGTGAATTTGCTGACAACTGTATTTCTTGAGTGCCCTGTTACATGTTTATTCCAGATGATGTACATGTACAAACCAGCAGCCCTTGGCCACTTGTTACTTGTCATGATTGTTGATAGGCTTTTCCCCTGCTCCGTTGCTCAAATGTTACTGTGGTTGCTTAGTGACGCTTGAATTGCTTGCAGGAATTGGCTGACTAAACACCCCTACCCAGCCCCGATCTGTTTATTTGCAAGTCAGAAATGGTTTCCAGATCTTTTTTGAATTAGTGAATCACTTGCCAAGAATCTTGGGTGCAGTGGTACTGGTTAGTTGGAAACGCTTATGACGATGACAATGATGAGAAAACAAGATGGTGGAACTTGACACAGACTACACAAACCACCTTTCACTTTTGCCCAGGTTCAGGAATTTTAAAGTCACTGCCACACAGTAAATGGATATGCTTTTTAGATCAATCAGAAAAATATCTCAGCTCATAATTTCTGCCCATGATTTGAAAGGGAAAACCTGCCTTTTGAGCCCAGATCCGATGCAATTATTGTATTAAAAGAGTTAACTTTGCAAGAGCGAACCAATGCTGGGTTGCACCAAGCTTCTGATACCTGTCTGTAGTTGTACTTTTCACACAGGGACAGTTCTGATTTTTAAAAATGGATCACAGTCTTTCATTTGACATACTGAGATCAATGAATTTGCCATTTTCATTCATTCCCAAAGAGGGAGAAAAAAGAGCCATTACTCTGGAACACAAATGTACCAGTCAAAAGAGAAACTATTGTGGGCATTTAGAAAGTTGGGAAATCGAATTTTGGGAGATCCCTGCAACCCCATTTAAAGGTATAGGCCTAGTAGTACTGCAAGGAGGAGGCTACATTGGTACTTGTCTGTACACGGTACGGCCAATGGACCCTTCGCGAATTCAAGACCAACACAGGAAATTATTGAGACTTGTTCACACAATAGCTGATTTCCTGTTAAACTTTCAATTTAATAAGTGGCGACTGGTTGAAGTGGCAAATGGGCAAAGTGGACGTCCCATCAGCAAGCATCTAGCAGCTGCAGTAGTAGTAGGCCTGCCACCTTTTTCCTATTGAGTCACTAAATGGTTTCAATTGCAGGCTGCTTTTGCCTTGTAGAATTCAAAAATAAGAACAGGCACTTACATATACAACTGCCTGCTGACATAATGCCAATGTAGGCTTACAATACACTCGAAAAACAGGCCTAAATTATTTTGCTGTAAATTTTAAGTCTGTCCGACTAATTACCTCTATCAATCATGACAATTACCGAATAAGGCTAACTGCCCATACTGAGGCCTAGCCTTGGCCTGCCGGTACATATTGTAGAAAGAACTGGAACAAAATGTAACAAAAGCCAAATTTAACAAGCTATTAATTGCAGACATTTTATGCCATATGTAGGAACTGTAGAATAACACTTTAGGCATGACAGGTTTGGACCGGAGCATCAATGATTGAGGTTGAACCACCGTAGCCTAGACTATCGAATTTGAACACAGTAAAAAATTAGGCCTAGGCCTACGTGTAGTTCGGAAGTTCGGTCTCATGATTCTGCACGCAGGCCCCCTACACGTAAGTTAGTACGGTATCAACATACGACCATTAACACGATTACCCAGGTAAACATTCAAATATTAGTGTGGTCAAAACTTGCTCCACCATGGAACATTTGATTCCAAAATCTGATTTGTCATGTTTAGTACAAAAAGCTCACCATGATGAGTAGCCAGCATGTTGTGCACAATCATGACAGCGACCACCAGCAACAGATTTTGCACAAGTTGACATCTTCTGTGCCGAAAGACGCCGAATGTTGATGTGACAGGCCTAGCCATTTTAGCTGTATTTACAACTTGCTGGCCGAACTTGAGGATACAAAATGAAGCAAGACGACCACCAAAGACAATGGTAAGAGTAAGGCAATTTTACGGGTATCGGTATACGGGCGAGACGACTTTCGCTTATCCAGCACGTCCAGAAAGTTGATTGATGTCCTCAGCATGTTCATATATCAGCCAATTCCATATACACCATGTACGCGTACATGGGGAGTACGCTAGCAGGTCGTCGCGAGCAATAGACAACTTTTAGGATTTACATAAATTAGCATAAATTGTTACCCCATTCTCAAACCTGTTATGTATCAGCCAAGAAAGCCTATCGGTGGACGGGATAAAAAGAAAGAAAAACAGAAATTTGGAATTTATGTCGAGCTGTTTATTATTTTATCAATATGTTAAGTAAATATGAACAGAAATTCACTGATTTCCCCCCTTTTAAACAATTATTTCTGCCGCGTGTGTGGAGAGACGTTTACTGACTTAGGTGCAAAGTTGACGCGGCTCAAATTTCAGATGTCGGAGAGACAGATTGCGACGTCGATTATGTAGGCCCCCTAGTAGTTTTTAGGCGCATCGTCGATTGTGAATGCATATTGGTTTCCTAGCTTAGCTGAACATAAATCTGGACGTGGGCAGGTAGGAGGCTGTTTTGTTTCTTGGTTTGAGTGTTCGCGAGTATCCTGTTGTCATGGTTGTGAGTGTTAAAGAAATTGCGAGAGTTCATTGTGACATTATTCAGACATGGTTTTCGTTCGATAACTGAATGGAAAAATATTCGTCACGACAGGCACCCTGCCTTTGCGCGATAGCCGAGCGAGTTGACTCCGTCGGATCGGTTGGATGTCCGGCCGCGCCTGGCCGTAAATCCGCCAAGCCTGCGCCCCGCAGCCCTGAAGTAACCCGTCTTGCTAATGCTATTCATGGTGCCAGCGACACGGCCACCATTGGCACAAGCAATGCTTAGTTTTACGCTTCTCCCTTAACTTAAAACAGTGGAACCGAACCCCGCTTAAAAGAAACCGATTCGTCGTGCCCCGCGCTCCCAACGTTTTTATGCAGTATGCCAAGACCCTACGTCATGTCCTCAATCAATTGGGGGCTTTTTGCGTTGATTGCATGTTTCAAACAATTTTCATGTTTTTGGAGTTGAAGAAGGTAGCCTACGTTAAGGCCTACAATTAGACGAAATGAAAGAGAAACGTTGGACAACAATATTATAGGGGGCCCATCATGCCCATGGCCATGGGTTGTTTCTTATTTTTATTAGCACAACACGGCCATGTTCGCATTCAAGAACAGCTGAGCTGTTCCAAGTTCACCTTTTCCTGCACTTACATGTAGAATGTGGCTTAAATTTGGATAGGGCCCACAGGGACAATGATGTCTGCTCCACGGCTTGGTGTGGAAAGTAACATCTTTACCATCAGGCTTGTCAGTCACTCACATTTTTTGTATGAGTTTGTACATTTTTAGCTCCATGGTTTGTATTCATCAGAGCAATTAACATGTACTATCATCATATTGGTGCAGCGAAATGTATGGATTTTTGTCTGTGGCTTTCAGATGTGCTGGTGGGGGGGGGTGTAAAACAAGGGAATGAAGAGAGCCAAGTCTTCCTGATTAATTCTGTAACATTTTATTCTCAACTGCATTTTCTGCAAAGGTCTTTTCGGGGACTTTAAATGATACATTTTAAAAAATTGACTGAATTTTTGCTGTTGTTGAGAGACATTTTGATTTCAAGAATTCAAGTCATCTGGTACAAACATTTTGACTTTAAAAACTTCATGAGTTCAGCTCCCTTTGATTTGCACTTGTAGCCGACCTACTGTCCACAAATGTATGCAGTCTGTCTAATTATCCTCAAATGAGGATAATTGTTATAATTGTCACTGGTTATAACAGTGCCATTTTCTGTTTGTATTTTAAGTTTCATTTTCTGATTGTTGTTTTGTGTTTATTTTAGATAAGATTCGTTTAGTTTACATTGTTATTGCTCTAATGCTTTATTTATTGAATAGTTAAGCTGTGTGTACTGTGGCAAATTAGCCTCCGGGCTACAATCACAGTGTTTGAAATAAACCATCAATCATAATGATAAAAATGATAATTGATATAAATCGGAAGGTGGAAATTTGTGTTTTGATTGAGCAAAGGGGGTAACAAAAGTTTTGAAAAATATCATGTGGAGTTGCAGTTTGATTAGGCTTTTAAAGCATATGCCCGATCATGTTCAATAAATGAACAGTACTCAACAGATATGGGGTAACAGTGTCCACTGGCTAAGGTAATGTCACCCTGTGAAGTTTGCCCCGAAGGGTCTTGAACCTGATGCTCTGCTAGCTCAAGTCCATGCATCCTGCCTTTCTTCCCAAGCAAAGTGATTGTTAACTAGTTGTTGAGTGGGTGCTTGCCAGGTGTTACCATTCACCTTGTCATTTTGGAACCCAGGTGATGATTATTGTGCGTTGATGGTTCTAGTGGGTTGTCCCCAACAACACCACTGGCAAATTGCTTGCAAGACCGTAATGAAAGCTGACAAGCTGTGGTGTTATTGTGAGTCATAGGTTGGAGGGGTTGAAATCCCTGAATTGTGCAATATGCAGTTGAATAGTCAAGATTCTTTGCTCATTTTTTTCCTTTTCAAACTATCCCCTTGGCTCATTCTGAACAATATGCCACCAGCAAACGTGCCACAAGTAAGTTTGCTCTTGCATTGTGCCCAAAATGTGATTTGGTACTCACAAGAAAACAAGAACGATCGTAAGATTTGAATTTCATAAACGAGACTTTGAAGGTCACATCTCTGTTCTCCCAAATTATTGTAGGATTCTGCATTGTTGTGAAGTCACACGCCCATTACAAACATTACCAGCATAAATGTATGTACAATGTGTATACACGTACCTGTATCCCCCCAAAAGCACACTTTGTCAAATGCTCACAAGGGTGTAGTGTTCCTTTGTTTTGTTTCTGTAGCTTTTTGTGTAAATAAAAACTTAGTTTTATCATCAGGTTTCAAATGATACAGGTTGCTGTGGCAGATTATTATCCCTTCCCTTTGAGCATTTTCTCCTAAAATGGTTTTAATAAGAATCAATTTGTCAATACTTGGTTTGTCACTGCCAATGTAATTCCTTCAATTTTACAACGTTCAGGTAGGAATCATAAAGGAGAAGAACACTTGGACTCTGAAAGACTTGCAAGTTAGAATGATCATGGCACCCATAATTGCTGCATTGCATCCTGGGAGCCTTCTTTCACTGTTGAACATTGCCGTAGCTGTCATCAACATTGGTAAGTTTCACACAAACAAATCCATGCCAGCCCGTATGAATCATTAATTAAAATGCATTGCTGTGGGGTATGGAGGTTTATCATTTACATACATGTACATGTGCCCGTACATCATGTTGTAAATATTTTGTCTTCTAGTTGTTTCTCTCAAAACACGATTCTCCCTTCCATAAACTCAGCTGTCACTTGGCCAATTGTTTTGAAACTTACCGTTCATGTACATATGTACTGGTAGCATACATGTACATGTACAGTACATACATACCATATGTACATACATGTACATGTAAAACAGTTATTATTTATGCTAGTGTGAAAAACTGTGAATTTTCAATTCAATATGAATTAAGCATTTCATTCACCGACCATTTTGCAAAGGTCATAAAACTTGATCAAAACCAGTTTGGTTTACAGTGATAGGAAATTACATACAATGTACATTTACAGTACTTTCAACAAGTCATTGCCTTGTGTAGAAACATTGCCTGGCAGTCTTCCTTGTGCAACCTCCCCTGTGGAAATGCAAGTCATCATTCTCTGTAGTAAAAGAAAACACAAACAAATGTATCAAGTGACAGAAATGATTACATAATTGCTGTTTCACCAAATTGATTGATCGGGCGTGAGAATTTCATTTATTCTGTGGCTTTGTAATTTCCTGCTGCCTCACGTCAATGCATTCAGTATCTCATTCCATTGGCTCCTACATGTACTTGTCAACCTTTGGATGTAAAAAATGCTGGAGTTCCTCAAGGCAAGGGACAACCACCCATCATTTTCCTGGGAATGATCAGTGATGCAAAGCTACCTGACTGCACACATATACAAGTGTGTACTGTAGTTCAATGATTTAACGGGGTTGAATGTTGAGGAGTCAATCAAATGTGTATGTAACTGGCAGCAGATAGTGTTGGCTAATGGGCTGACAGCAACCAAATCAAACAACCATAAGAAATCTGTTTGAATGGACATTTACATGTGTGTGAAATGCTCAGATTCAATTCAACATTGGTATTGATCACCAAAATCTTAATACTGTGAGAAGCTATTGAGAGTCTGACTTGAAATGGGGTATTCTGTGTAAAAGCATTCAAAATGCGTGGACAGGTAATTACCGAGTAAACTCTACAGGTACACTGGTTTTGAGCAGCATAGTGTGCCACAAGAGGATTTCTTAACAACATTGTTAAGGTACAGTACGTAAGGGATGTTATTTTAGTTTAGTTTGAGGTTCTTTTGCTCGTACTTGAAGCAATTGTGCTTCCACAAAATTTCCTGCCAAATTCAAAATTTGGCAAGTTGTCACGACACATGATCCAGTTTGCATTCATCGGTAGCCCGCTGTCCTCCCACTCTAACATTGCCTTGGTGAAGGGGATACCAGTTGCCTTGCAGTTAGGCTCTCATCACCGATTCTGGTTGTGCTACCAAATCATCAGCACCCATGACAAAAGGGTGAGGATCAAAGTTTTCTTTGACATGTTCATAGAGTTTGAGTAAGTCGTCAAAGCCAGCCCAGTCCCCCATCTGGTATTGATTCCACTCATCCATTGATTCTGGATCTATAGGCACATCTCGGGGTCGGTATTCTACATTACAGTCCATCCAAGATGGGACAACTTTTCTGGGATTCCTGACAAGAAAAGTGTAGTGATATCCGTTTGGTAGATGATCCATCTTCTTGCCCAGGCAGTACGCAAAGTCCTTGACAAATATGAGCCTGTTGTCAGGATATGCTGCTTCTAAAGTCTGTCTGACCCAGGCAAAAGTGGCAATGGAGGAATCGAAAGCCACGTTTGCAGCGGGATGATCAATGTGACAGTTTGGGTTAGGTGACGATACAACTCTCTTCTCCGGGACCAGGGAGGAGAGTCATATCAGCCGCAGACCCAAGCTCACCAGTTGATCTTCCTGGTGTCAACTTGGCCTACGATTCCTCCATTGCCACCTTTGCCTGGGGCATGGTCAGATAGACTTCAGAAGTAGCACACCCTGATACTAGGCTTATATTTGTCAAAGACTATCTGTTTTTGTATCTATTTTTACTTTAAGCCGAAAGGGGTTAATTTCCTGGAAGTGAAACTTTTGAAACTTTGGAAATTGCAAAGGTTATAAAATGATATATTGAAGATCACTTTAAATATTCAAATATTTACCGGTACATATAAAAGAATCTTAAACGAAGGTCCAAAATACATGTACATGAAGTCTTTATGTTTGACTTGAAAGCATTGCTGTTGAAAATCGAAATGCAGTGCACGGGTATACTACTAGTAGTGGTACTTGGCTGCACTGCATGCAGCATGCAACTGGGGTAACTTTACCAAATGCTGCAAAGTGTGTTCAACAGCTTAGTAAAACTTAAACAGATCTAGAGAATATGGCACAGAAACCAGTACAGTGTATAATGCTGTCATGAAATCTCTTTGAATAAATAGCAGTTTAAAATGTTTTATTTCGTTTTATGTTTGATTGTTTGCTTGGGGTTTTTTTTTTTTTTTTTGGATTTTTTTTAATGAAAGTGCCTGGAGTGTCTAGGTACAGTACTGGTACATACATATGGATTTTGCATGTTTCATCTGGCTGTGACAGGTTTTGATGTTTATTGGTGAAAGCCTGACCTAATGTCAATAGTGTAGGCCTGCAGTATAGACTGTGCCAATGTACACATTCATGTACATGTACATGTGGTTGGCACAGTGTACATGTATGGTACACCTGGGTAGAAATCTTCCCATTTTCTCCAGTTAGGAACAAACCACAACCACCTGGCTTGGGAAAATGGTTCACCAGTGCCATGTGTCCAGTGAAGTTGCACACTTTACCATGGCATGTTTGGTTTGGACCACATTCCTCCAGGTTGATTAATTGGAAAGTGTCACTTGGGAACATTCCATTGCTATCAGAAAGGGGGGATCCATTCGCAAAACAGTCTTCTAGATGTGACAATGGAGCTAACGTCCTTGATAAACAGCAGCTTATTTCACATAATGTACATGTATTTACCATAAGGTAACTTTGAACCATGGGTACCGTACATGGGTGTACCTGGTACATGTATCGGGAAGCCTTGCGCCACAAATTTATGTCACAGCTGTGCAATATACATGTATTGTACTTACGCTCAAATTCACGAAAGGTTCCATTGCTGCACCACATTTTAATAATACCAAAATTCTAGGACGATTATGATGAAGGCTTTTATGGTGGCTGATAAACATCACAACAGTCATTAAACAGTCTTTGAATCACCTCCTCCCAACATTTTGGAAAAGTTTTGTCTTTTCTTCGTCAGAACCGGACAGAAAATCTTGCCGTTCTCTCAAGCTAAAACAAGTTTTTCATTACCTTCTACAGTGTACCTGCAGAACAAAGCTGTATGTTTCTCATAATAATGTTAAGTTCAACAATGATGAGGCTTTTAATAACTAGACGCGATAAGCTAGTCAAGGTGTATAATGCTGCGCAAGTTACATGTACGCTGTAATTTGTTGCGTAAGGTGCAGACTTATGCAGTGCATACATGTAAGTTCCGTGAAATCGGTCTTAATTTGTTGCATAACTTACACAATAAAATGTGATGTTAGTGGAGTTATGCCATTGTGCAAAGGTAAAATAAAAAGTTCATTTCTTGACTCTCAACACTGTTAAAGAGAGATGATTTTGGTTATACATGTGCAGATGTGTCTGTTAGTGTGGACAGACCCACATGGTAATCTGCAGCTTTTCCTCTGAATGGTTTGAATTTCTCATTTTACTTTCAGTGTGTACTACATGTACGTGTATTATTATCAGACCATTTTGCAAACGGGTTGGACATCTCTCAGTTGCCTGCTTGAAACTGAAGTTAGATTCATGTTAAGATTGGGATTGCATACACATAAGTACACAGGTATAAATACTAATGTACCAGTACAGTAGCTGAAGACTTTGAAGCACTTTAGAAAGTAACATGTGTGATGGTTTGACCATGTCTGCTCCACGTTGTCACTGTACCAGTGCAATCTGGGACCCCACCCTCTCTAGCCAAGTTACTGTAGTATGACCCTTTTGACAATAAGGCCAACCAGCTAGTCATGCTAATGTCAAGCACTTGTCACTCAGCTGGGAAGGGTCATCTCCCTGCAGGGGTGTGTCAAGCCAGCTGTGAAATATGCTGGTGGCTGGTATTAGGGATCTCCTCCAAAAGTTGTCACATCAGAAGGGTGTTGAGTCTTCTCTGGGTCCTGTCTAGATCTGGGTTGGAAAAAGGAAATTTTTTTTTTATCATTGTGCTTTTTTTCTTCAATTTTATGAAGACCATAGTACGATGTGTCCCCATGTACATGTACAATGTACATGTACATCAGGTTGTATGCATGTACGTTAGCATGATCATACATACTCAAGAGTATGTTCCAACAGTAAACCTGTCAAGCTCGATCCTTTACAAGTTACAAATTGTTTGTAAATATTATAAATGGAGAGAAAAGATGCCAAGGTTAGAGAGCAGCTACGGTAGGAGTGAAATTTTGTGCGCATTAGCAGGCTTAAAGCAAGGGAGCAAAGTGACCAAGCGTGGGGAGGGTGTGGCCCCTCCCATGATGGGGAGCTTTGGAATTTTTTTTAGCCCAAAATCGTACAGTCTGGTGCACTTAAAGTGACTATTTCAACTTATTCTTAAAACAACAGGGTCCCAAAATGTGCCTGGAATCTGGAAAAAAACAAAGGAAGTCACTCATTTTAAATGGTCCATTATGTTTTTTCCATGCCCCACATTACCATCTCTACAATAACATACATGTATATTACATGAGTACAAAGTAGCGCTGTGGAGCGGTGGCCTCTTCAGGTACGATCTAAGTACTGTACATTTAGATACAGATCTAGTGATAATGTGCCACCACACACACGACAGTGCATACCATACAACTCATATACTCCGGCTGTCCAGCTACGTACCGGTAGGCAGCAGCAGTCGTCCACGCTTTAAACTCGCCAACTGCATCGCTTTTCTTTTTCCAGTCTGGCTCTGATGCCTGAGAAAATGGTCGCCAGGTGCATGAGCGTGAGAAAGAGCCCCGAGGCTGTGACTGTCGCGCTGCATGCGTGAGACTTGGTACCAGGAGTTCTGGGAGAGCCTCACAGTGCTGCATATGGATAGCAGCATGTCATTTTGTAATAAACCTGTACAGTTTGTTACACTGCACTACACTAGTTACATTTTTACTTCAACTTTCGTGACGCGCATCGCGCTGCGCCGTATTTCGAAGATGTTTACCGGTACATGTACATGTAGGTCAGCACGCATGCTATTGTAGAACATTTTGCACTCTGTACACACACATTAGAGTTACCGCAGCATATATCAGTACACATTTGTCATTTTCCTCCAAACATGACTTCTAATGAGAGAGATCTATAAAGTGGTTGTTGCTCCTGAGAGAGGTTCATGTATGGTGCAAGTAGATTCAGCAATACAGGAACATCAGTAAAATTGGCTCTAGTAAAATGGGCTCATCAAAAATTTCAAAATTAATCAAAGGTACATGTATGGTGCAAGTAGATTCAGCAATACAGGAACATCAGTAAAATTGGCTTTAGTAAAATGGGCTCATCAGAAATTTCAAAATTAATCAAAGGTCTTTAAAAATTATTTTAAAAGCTCAAAATTGTAAATCAAATTCCAAATACATGTATACAGGTACACGTACCATAGTGCGGTACTTGCCTAGGGTTCTTGCATTTAACAAAGAGAACAGCTATGGTAGTGTTCTCCAATCGCATGGGAGTATTGCTCAAGCATACTTTTTTCATCTCCAGCCATGTTCAAAAGTACAGGTCCACGGTACATTGTAGCCACCAAGTCTTAAATTTCAGGTGCTGCAACTTTCTCCAATATCTGGGTAGTTCATCTCATGCTACTTTACCTTGATACAATGTAGATAAAGCAGTTTAGGAATGTGTAATATTACTCCCTTTTGAAGTGGGAAAACCTCTACCTGTACATAAACATGCCTGAAATACACTGGCCCCTGCAGTGTTACTGAAAAACTTACTGGGGTTGGTTTCTGTCCTTGTCTGGCTTAGCCCACCCCTTTTCAGTGTTTTTATCAGTCTTCAACCAAGATATGAGACTTTGAACTTGGACAAAACTGCACACATGTACCGGTACATGTACATTTTTACATTCATTTTTTACAAGAACAAACCACCAGTTATGGTACATCCATTCCTATAACAACTTTTGCACGGATAAAAAAGGGAAAAACTACCAGAGAAATCACTTAGCAAAAGACTGGAGTAGTTCAGGATAGATTCTTAACGTGGGTAGGGCAACAAGACAACAAGGCCCTTTCCTCCCCCCCCCCAGCCAAAAAAATCACTATAATCACACAGTGTTTCCCCAGTCTAGTGCCTAGCGGAACACTCAGAGTACATGTATGCACTCCCTCTACATTGTACTGTACATACCGGTATACAGTAGATTTCTGTTACAGCTCTCCCTGAGATAACGCTCTATTTTCATTTCCCCATTCACTGTTTACATTTTTATGTGGTTATTCCGTAGCGCTCCCGTTTACAATGCTTTTCCGGATATAACATTCACGATTTTCGGACCCAAGAACCATATAGCGCAAAGTGAAATGATTCCGGTTACAGCGATCTTTACCTTGGAAAATCAACGCGTATGGAACCGCATGGCAAGGCCGCCACGATCAGCCAGCCCATCCTGGACACCACTATTCTCTCAATTTTGTGAATTGCCCTGTGATGTACTTGTACCATTTGCATTTCATACAGTGTAGCTGTTAACAAGCAAAGTGCAGTTCCCACCAAAGGAGCCTGCATTGCTAGGAAACCTGTGCCTCTCTTGGTCCCGCTCTTGGCATGTACTGTACTGAGCAAAGCACGAACATCCATACTAACTTGCATGTTTGCTGACTTTTTAACTTCTTTTAACCTGCAGTTCAGGGGCAGCCGGCCCAGCCAAGCTTTGCCGAGGAGCCAGCAGACACGACTGTGGTTGAGGGAGGCGAGGCTATCCTGCGCTGTGTCATAAATGACATGGAGACTGGGACGGCTGTGCTGTGGACCAAAGGCAGTACCAACACCCCACTGGGGTTTGACACGGACCTCCCCGGCTACCCACGGTATAGCGTCATTGGTGAGTTGCAGTTTCAAGTGGCTGAGGTTTTGGCAGCCATGGTTCGAGATTCGAAGCCCTGCGTAAGTTCTTATAAATGTGTCCTTTGGACCCAACTCAGGTTTTTAAGTGGCATGATAATGTATAAACAGTCGGAGAGTCCTAATTTCAAGAAGCTGCGAGTATGAGATGAGTGGATGGCCTGAGATGTCTTATTCAAGGAACGACTCTAAGCTACACAACAGTGCCCAAATCCAGGTTGCCCGAGACTGTGGAGTATGACAGCTAGTTGTTGGGTTTGAGTTCTAAACCCTCCAGTGCGAACATTCCACATGGTTTAGACAGATATGCCATGCCACAAGTACACATGGTTAGTGGTACCGGGCTGAGTCAATTCGAATAATTCACTATTCGAATACTCAACCTTCATTTCGATCAAATATCCAAACATGTGGTCGTACCAACCGGCAGATTGTTGATGAACAAAACCAGTTTCCGGTACAATGATGCACACAATTGTACGTTATATTCACACTAATATTAGCTTCTCATTTCTAGGAGTACCGGTATCTCCAGCCGCGATTTAGCAAGATTTAAAGACAAAAAATACTTTTTGTCCTTTAGTGAATAATTTACTTCCTGAATCTTTGTAAGACTTCTGTCGCTTTTCTTTTGAATCTGCTTGCAACAAGCCTCCACGGTGAAATTTTTCTCACTTAAAACAAAAGAAAATTCTTCCTTCGTTTTCATAAATTTTGCATTCAAATATTCAACTTCAGAAAAGACTATTCAATACTCGATCGAACATCCAGATATTCGGCACAACCCTAGTTGGTTAGTGACCATAGTGATATTTCAGTCCAAAAAAGGGCAGAAGTATCAGCTTTAAGCCTTTTGTCATGTTTTCCCTTTTAGCCGCCAGTGACCGGTACATGTACATGTGATCTGTGCCCAGTGCTTTTAACTTTATAAACTATCAGAGCTTATTGGAGAAACTATTCACAAGCTTGCTTGTGTACATGTACAGGTCCCACTCAAATCTGTGACCTCGGTGCTGTCAGTGCCAGGGCAGACAGTGTACAGGTGGTTGGTGGGGTCAGCTTAAAGTTTTCTACTTTCACACTGCAGATACATGTGGTACTGCTGCCAGTAACTTTGGTTAGAGTTTTTGCTGTGGGAAATAAAGGGCCTGCAGCTTATGTTGCGCAAGCATTTTTTTGCCGATTGCCAGTGTCAGAAGCCAGTGTATACTGTGGCACTTCTCTGAGAGCTCGTTTGAAGAAACAGTTATCAGGTTTGAACCAGCCAGCTGACACTGCTATGCTAGTCATACTATAGCAACATGCTAAGTTATGCTTTACACTTCTTACATACTAGTACATGTAGTGATTGCCGATATTCAGAAGCTTCTGCTGAGAAAGTTGCTTCTGTCATTCTGTTTTACTTCCACCTTTGCACCGTGCAGGTACCAGTATGATATCCATGGTCATGAACTTGACAGGTGCACTGTACTTGTACCGCACACATGTACATTGTACATGTACCCCTGGTACATACACACTAGATGTAGTATCTCTTCTAACATCAATAGCAATACTACAATAGGTGAAGTGACACCGGGTTGCCAACCAAGTAACTGGTATCCATATGCAAGTTGGTGTCCCGTTCATTCCATTCCAAGGTGACCCTGCAAGTGAGGGCAATCTCCGGATCATTGATGCACAGTTGGAGGATGATGACACATATCGCTGTCAAGTTCCTGGACTCCGCTCTGCTGAAGCCACTCTCACGGTCCAAGGTAAAGACAAAACCAGTCCGATAAACCATCCAGGGAAACTGAATAACGGCTTGCTTGTACATGACCATATGTTAAAAAAAGAGCAAAGAAATGAACTCGAGTGGGAATGGAACCTACAACATTCAGAGAGCTCCATTTAGGAGGTTGATGGGGCAAATCCCACCGAGTTATTTTTTTTTAATCACTCTCCAGTCATAATGAAAAGTCATCCCAAGTCAATCACAGGTCAACCAAATGAACTATGACAAGTGTGTCTTTGTTGCTGCTGATCCACTTTTTATTTGTGACTACACTTTTGGCTTGCTGCTGACGTGGATTTTAAGGGCTGGTTCATACTCGCTGTGTTTGCACACACGCGAAAGCCACATTTGTCGTTCATACCTTCATGTTTTCTCAAGTCTTGGCTGCGTGTGTGTATCTGACAAAAGTTTGAAATTTTCAATTTGTCCGAATACGCATACATGTGGTGCATACGCACTCTCCATTATTTTCACAAATTGTGAGCTGGGGTGCGCATTTTCATTACGCACTGCGCTTTTGTACGCACTGCAGACATCTCGAAATAGACCTTTGTACTGGTACACAGTGAATACGAAGCGAGTATGAACCGGCCTTAACTGTCTATGTTTTACAAACTGTCCTCGCCACTTGGTTGTTGAAAGTATTGGTTTTCTCTGTGTCCGTCATTGTCAACAGTGCCTCCAGATCCACCCACGCTGGATAATTACGAGAACGGCACCCAGATCACCGTGGACCCACCAGCAGCGATCACCCTGACCTGCCGCACCAACAATGGCCGGCCCGAGGCATCCATTACTTGGCAAAAGAACGAGGACCCAGTGCTGTACATCCAGCCCACCACGTCCGTAGAGAACTCAGGCGATCCGCTGGGTAAGAAGAAGAACTTTGTCAGCACGCTGACGCTCAACCCGGAGAAGGAGGACAATGGGGCCGTCTACAAGTGCGTGGTGGAGCATCCGGCTCTGGTCAAGCCACACTTTGTCTCAGTGACAGTGAATGTCAGATGTGAGTTTCTCATTCTATTGTTAGTTTCCTACGAAACAATTCCAAAGACCTGGTCAAACCACATCCCAGTAATGAATGTCAGATGCGAGTTCCTCATTCTATTGTAAGTTTCCTACAAACAATTCCAAGCCCTGGTCAAACCATATCCCAGTAATGAATGTCAGATGTGAGTTCCTCATTCGTTGCTGGTTTCCTAGCAACAGTTTCCTGTCCTGGCCGAGCCACACTTTGTCTCTGTAACAATGAATGTCAGATATGAGTTCTTCTATCTGTTGCTAGTTTTCTCACAACCTTGCTTTCTTGCATAAAATATTGTCAGACAGTGGTGTTTATGGTTTAAAATCTGCACCAAACACGGTTCAAAGCCCACTCTAGACCAGTGGATCAGATCCATTAAGTTTGATGTTGGCAGATTGGACCTTTCTCTAAAAAATAAAGTTATGGTAATTGAGAAAAAGGTAAAGGAAATGAGAAGAAACAAATAG